GAATTAAAGAAACTTTTATTTCAAAAAATACAGCATATTTTAAATTTCAAAAGTGTATTTATATGCTTTAAAATATTGTTGAATCTWGAATATGTCTAATATGAACTGCTGGGTACTATGTACAAGTCAATTTTATAAGCACACATTATCTTTGTAACATAAATAACAAGTAGCTAAGAATATCTTTCAAATATTTTAATTATAAACCATATTTTAAAAAGTTTGTGAATTATTTTTTTAACTCCATAATAAAAGGTTGATATATTAGTTATAAATATTACTTTAAAAAAACTGSACTACAATATCTATATAATATTTTGAATTAACTACTYACTCCAATTAATTTTAATATTGTATAGTGTTAACACCGTTAACTACTTAATATAATCTGTTATTTATGTAAGAAAATTTATTTCAAAATATTTTAGGTTTTAACTCATTTTATATTGAATCTAAAAATATAACTGATAAATATAAATTATGTTAAAAATTTGATAGTACTAGAACAAAACTTAAAAAATATGTTGTACTGCATTTGTTCTATTCATTAACATATTAAGAAGCCTTTTTTAAATATCATAATTTATTTTAAACCATAACATTCTAGGTTTAATTAAAATTGTATTGAACAAAGAATCACATATGTTTAAGTCTTAAATAGTTACAGTCAAAATGTAAAATTGTGTTCTAAATATTTAAGTATAAAAATGTTTATACAATATTTTGATAAGAATATCTTTTTTAAATTACTTATTCAAACCTTAATATAAAAAAATAACGTTGGAAAATAATTCAATAGATATTTTCTATCAACAATTAAACATCGATAAAAGAAAATTAACATTAAAATAACAATATTTATGAACCATTTGGTAGTCCATTAATTACTTCAACAGGAGTCTTAACTTCAATATTCTTGGGAAGCTCACTTTTTGATTTTTTATGAACTATTTCATCTTTGCTATGGGCCCTTTTTTCAGACTTTTTTCTTTTATCATCAGTTTTAGTATCATCTGATTTGTGCTTGCTTTTATGTACTTTAGGAAGTTGCTCACTTTGATCTGTACCTTCTACTGTTGCTGGTCGTATTTTTTTTACTTTGGGCTTATTACTTATATCATCATTTAATTGCTTTGAATCTTTTGGTTTGCTGTGTTTATTTGACTTATTATCAGAATTAGTTTTGACCAATCGAGATGGTATTTCAGTTTTTGATTTTGTTAATGTCTCAGTTGTAGTATCTTCATCTTTTTTAATACCGTTAACAATCGATTTTGGATTAGTTTCTTTGTTTTCAGTATTGTTTGTACTCTGAACAGAAGCTTTACATTTTTGAAGTTCATTCTGTAAGAAGTATATCGTACTCTGCATTCCTTCTACATCTTCATCTAAGTCTTGTAAAAATTCATCCAATTCTAATAAAAATAAAATAAAAGTATAATTAAGTTATTGTGTATAACAAACTCCACAGATGTTTTAGGAAGACAATGGGAAATATTGATTTCTCCTCCTTGGAGTTTTATGAATGATATTGTAATAAAGTCAAATAATTCACCTTATATGAATATTTGATATATGCATGGTATTAAGTAGTATTGTAAAATGTAGACATATTTTGAATCATTTCATATATTATTACAGGAATTAGATGATATCATGATGCTATGTGAATTTATTAAAAAACATTACTACTGTGCAGAATTTCATGGACTATA